ATTTGAAGAAAACGGGGATGCATTTTATGCCATTTTCCTTTTTTCCCTTCTTTTGAGAGATCCAATACTTAAAGGTTGAGTTTGAAATTTTGGGGAAGGATCAAAGGGCCGCTTACCAAATTTTTTCCCTTTTTTTTTTCAGCGTACACGGAACAAACTGTGCGTGAACTGTGAGGAGATATCAATGACAAACTACGCGGTGGTCAGATTAATTAATAGTAAAATAAGTGACCAAAAATAAACTTTCAAAACATTAGTAATAGATCATTTGACTTTGGCAAAAATCAATTAACTGATTAATTGACAGTGTTGATGATTAAAACAATCATTTGTCATCGTTTTATTTTTTTTAATGGACCAGTACCAAACATTTACAGCTTCTCTGCTTCTCACTGTGTGATCAGAGGAACTGAAATTCAAATGTCTTTTGCAACAAACAGATGATTACAAGACATTTGAAAATGGCATGAAGGGCTGTGGTGAAAGGCTTTTTTTGTTCCTTTATGACATTTTAATGACTAAACAATTTCAATTTTGAGTGACAAGATTCCTCATAAAAGTTACAGAATTATTTTACATCAAATAGAACGGCTAACAGACTATTCAGGACCTACGCAACGCCAAAACGACCCATATAATGGTTAAAGATCATTTATAGGGCAAAAACTGCTCACACCTGGTTTATATTAGTATGAATTAATTAGCAAAACATCTGAAATAGGGACAAAAATATAAAAAGTTCGGCAATCTTTGGATAAAACAAAACAAGTTTAGGTTTTAGTTTTAGCTTCACATAAATGATTTGCGTCTGGGCAGCTTCGTAGCTCAGCTGGTGATCTGTACACCATCCCGAACGTAAAACCGTAATTTTTAGGAAATAAACTTCCAAGTATGTTACACAGAAGCCAAAAAACCCTCCACTCCAGACGGTACAAATCTGCTTTTGTATCTCGTGTTTGTTTTCTGAATGTTCCTGGTTTGTTTTGGAAAGAAGAAAAAAGGTCAACTTCAGCTAAATGTCACATGACATCTGCATTCGAAGGCCTACACGTGTGTACATCTAGAACACGTGTCCTTCCTCAGTCAGATGAAAACATCAACCTGATGTGAGCTCTCAACAAAAAAAAGGTAACGCATCAGTGGGCCTGTGCTTCCATCACTGCTCCTGCCAGACAGCCAGCGAGTCAAGAAACAAAACAAACATCTGGATGAAATGAAAATTTGGCCGAATGAAACATTCTCTGAAATGACATTTCTACTGCTCGGGAAATAATCTCAGAGGAACACAACGATGCTACTTCTATTAACAACATGGTAAAAGATCTGACATCACATCATTTTTCACTTTGATAAGTACCTGTAGCTTACATGGGCTACTGTTAGTATGTACATGTAGCAGCATAAAACCACCCTGACAGTGACTATCAGACTACAAGATCACCACTCTTCCATCTCCCTCAGAAATGGCTGTCGATGTGGATGAGGTGGAATGTGCAGTTTTTAAATTATTTTAGCTCGTATCATCCTTAAAAAGCTGGATTTTTTTTTTCTTTTTTTGTTACCATTTCATGCCTTCCTGTCCTATAGTTTTCTACAAATCCTAATGGCACGTTTGATTTTATTCATCGTACAGTTTGCAATTAAGTTTTGGCACTTAAAATATAAATACAGTCTTTCTTTTTCTTTAAAATATAATCACGCACAGTCATAACAGTAACACACCAGTGTCCAGCGGTAACTTGAGGTGAAACTTTGGTCTCCGTTATTCCCGACTGGACTACAAAACGCTGGTCATCACATGGAAAACAGAATTAATACAATAAAATAAAATAAAAAAAGAGATTGAATAAATAAAAAATGAAATAAATAAATAAATATCTGACTAAGAAGGTTGATAAATAGCCTCACATCTTCACTTGTGTGGCTTTTGCGACGCACTTGATTACCCTCCAAACAGACCATTCACACCTGATAACTGACAAATTACAGATTCAGCACATTTCGTGTGAGGTTATAGCTTAATGCCACTATTTGAGGTTACCGATGTCTCCGTCAGGAACGTTTAAATAAACCCTATCTACATTGCCGTCCACGAAATATTTGGCCCCCTGTGTTTTTTTTTTTTTTTTTTTTTTTTTTTTTGGTAAAACGACACGACCTGCGGCTCCAGTGGCGTGGGAGTGGTGACGAAAGAGCGTTTCGGTGGCACAGGGTCAAAAGTGCAACGTGACAAGCGTGAAAAACCTCCTGCAGGTCTGTGATGATAAGCAGGAGGTGAAGATGATATGCTACTTTTTCAATTGCTGCATGTTGATAGGAGGGAGCCGAAGCTCGTCTAAATCCATGTGTGCTACTTTTACTGTCGCTCCGTTTAGTAGAATTCTCCAAATATCACAAATCTGCTCGTTTAATTCCTCATTTTCCAGCTTGGATTGGACGAAACAATTCCGAAAAATATGATAAAATACAATTCCATAGGATTGTGTGCAAAATGCTCTATAGGCATACAGTAACAAATAATGGTCTCTTCTACTAGCCACGACGTTTAAGTGCTTGTGATGAGGTATGAGTATCGGCCAGTATCTGGGAGGAACCATTAGCCAACTGCTCTACGATATAGGTCACATCTCTGACGCTCAGTATTTAAGTAAAAATATCACATGGATGTAAGTAAAATGACAGGAGCAATAATAATCTGTGAGTGTAGATGTGTTTGAGAATTAAACTTTGCTAATACAGTATGGCAATGACTGCTTCCACTGATAACAGAGGTCTCTGCTCCCTGTGGCGAAGCACAGAGTCACACTTATGTTCATACATACAGCGGCACGCAAAGGTCTGGGCACCCCTGGTCAAAGTTTCTGTTCACGGGAATGATTAAGCAAGTAGAAGACGAAATGATCTCCAAAAGGGATAAAGTTAAACATGAAACACTCCTTTCAATATTTTAAGCAACATCAGTGGAATATTTTTAAACCCCAGGAGACTTGAGCTCTCAGTTAACTTTGACCTTAATTAGCCTGATTGGGTCCTGGCTTGTTCACAGTCATCGTTAGCAAGTTTCAAAGCTTCATAAATACACAGAAACCTCGTCCCAACAATCAGCAGCCATGGGTTCCTCATGCCTAGAACTCTGAAACTGAAAAGGATTGATGCCCACGAAGCAGGAGAAGGCTATAAAAAGCCAGTAAAGTGTTTTCAGGGACCGAGGATCACTAGCAAAACAAGTCAACCCCCTGTTTGACTGCAAGAGACCTCCAGGGAGATGGAGCAGACGCTGGAGTTGGGGTTCACTGTTCAACTGTTCACCTGCTCAAACATGGCCTTCATGGAGGAATCATCAGAAGAAAACCTGCCCTGCGTCCTCACCACAAAAGAACATTGAGACAAGCCTGATGCACTTTGGGGGCTGCAAGGTGGCTCAGTGGTTAGCACCGTCACCTTGCAGCGAGAAGATCCCCGGTTTGTGTCCCGGTGAGGACACCCGGGATCTTTCTGCGTGGAGTCTCCATGTTCTCCCCGTGCAGCGTAGGTTCTCCCCGGGTTCCTCCCACAACTCAAAAACATGTTGAGGTTAATTGGTGATTCTAAATTGTCCGTAGGTGTGAATGTGAGTGTGCTTGGTTGTCTGTCTCTAAGTGTAGCCCTGTG